GAATGGGCTAGTGGTGGCAGGTGTCAAGTACACTGGGCTTAGAGATGAGCTGTGCTTGACAATAACGGAGACTGAGGGCTTTGTGGATGAATCGATTAACGTGCGTTTGCCAGCATCTTCTAGTAACTGATAGGGCTGCAAGAGATCGGTGTGAATGATACGGTAGTCACAGCTGCTACGATGAAAACCCGGAGAAATGAGTGACGCAAGCCGATGCTGAGGTCCAGGAACCTTCTACAACACATAGTGGTAGGCGAACCATTTGCAGTCCGAAGTTGTAAGGATGTTCTTCAGTGCTTTCTTATTGATGTCATCACTGTGAACTGGAATTTGATGGTAGGCTCTCGTAAAATCTAGTTTCCTAATCAATATAGTACCTTGAAAGCGGAATACGAATAGGACTGAAATTCAACAGTCTTAATCCATGGTTTATATTCTCCAGCTGTTTTTCTCTGGTTTTTTAACTTATTTGAAAGATTTATTACTATTTTGTGCTGACAGCGCGCATTCCACTCTTGAAGGTGGATATTTTCGACAAGTTCGTGGCTTTGCTATGGCCATTTCTCTAGCACTTCTGTTAGTGGACGTTTACATGTCTTATACAGAAAAATTGTCCTTCGATTTAATGTCTAACTTTACCTTCTATCTGAGATATGTAGATTATACCATTTTCATTTGTGCCGATCATGAAGATGCCAGTTTTTTATTCGATAGACTTAACTCTGTACATAATCACATGAATCTAACATGCAAGGAAGAAAGTTGCAGTCAGCTTGCATTTTTATACATACCTCTGAGTCGAAGAGACGAGGGTTCAGTAAGACTATCAAACTATAAAAACCCTACTGAGACGGGGCAATACCTTGATTTTCACAGTTTATGTCCACTAAAGTATAACAGAGTCTTGGCGGAATGCTTATTTAAGAGGATTCAGCTTATTTACACGGCTGGTCTTATGAACAAGGAACATGAAATATTTATGAATACTCTTGTTGGAAACGGATATCCTTTAAAAGTTTTAAACAGGTGTGGAAGTCAATCAGTCTTTAAACCCCCGATTCACACGCCCCTCAGAAAACTTTTTTTATGAGATCACCATATAGTGGTGAAATAAACGGTAGGATTTTGACACAAAGGTTAAATTTGGTCGTCTGTGAAACCTATTAATGCACCCCGCCCTGCAATTATCCAAATCTCCAAAAACATGCTTCACTGAAAACCTCAAAAGTGCACAAGTTATTGTGTCACATACCACACTCTCTATCAATTTTTTGTGTGTATGTGTGGATACACATACGTAGAGAGGAGTAATTTTGCTTTGGATATGATGGTTGAAAATCATATCCAGAAGTGGTTAGAAATACAAGTTAATTGTAGAAAATCAATAAACACAAGTGGTAGACTGTCAAGTTCGTCTATGGCTATACATCTAATCAATATGAACCATGAGACTGATGTTAATACAACCCTTAGGGTCATATATGAAATGCGTTGAGGCCATAGCTATTCATACATTTAAGCACCCCTCCTGTGTGTTCAATAACACTTTCGTATTACCCTTAACCTACCTTGGTAATCCTCACTTGATTGCATTACCAAACGTTGTGTTAATTATTCTTAAATATTTTTGTCGCTTTGTTTAATTTATCCAGGAATTGTGTTTCAATTCTACGGCCGGTAACATAAAATAGGCTTTGTTGGTGTGATTCGTCGGCGGCGCCTATCGTAATCACGCGCTTGCTCACTAGTATCCCGACCTTCTGTTGTCAAATGTGCAGAGGGATCTACATTTGCATTAGTTCGCACCATAACGTCTATGATACCAACGAACTCCTGATAGGGAGTCTTTCAATTTTGACCGTCTTCCTTGTCGACACGAACCAAATCAACTTCGAGGAAGGAATGAGCGACTTCTCCAAGTCTCCCTATCCCGATGTTCCGGTGGAGGACTAGAGATTTCGAGATACATCTGCTGAATATCGAAACAGGACATATCACTTTCGGAATGATCGTTTACAATCGGGACATGTACATTCAAGGCCACAGAGATGGAGGTAGGCTTTTTTGTGACCTCAGCGGCTCTGTCGGCTGCTATTACTGGTCCCGTAATGGATGACTTGTAGAAGGTGCATAGATGCCTTTCACGGTCTGAGGTAGACGCTGAAGCCATAACTGTTTCCTAAAAGGTTCATCAGTCTGGAAACCAGCTAACAGCTGTTTCATTTGATGAAGTGACTGAGAGGATGTGCGGTCCCCCAATTGCACATTAGGAAACAGTTCGTGTAACCATTGTTGATCCGTCAGTGCGACGCGCTTAATGAGGGCGGCTTCGCTGCGATCGCACAATTTTGAGGCAGAACTGTCTAGGACTTCTGAAACGTCTTCCATAACCTTTTCTAGGAGGCTAACTATAGTCAAGTTGGCTTTTGCCTCCTGAGCTTGAATGCATCATAGAGCAAAGTGGGCTTCGGCGTGTGCAAACCACGCTGTTGGGCGATTCTCCCTGAAAGTAGGCAGCTGAAGTGTAATCACCATGATACCATGGGCATTTCAAGAAAAGTTTTAGGTAATGTAAAATATACAAACAATTTAAAACAAAATAATACCAACATAAAGGCATTAGTAAAATTGGGCGAGGTAAAAAGGAAAACGAGACGCCAAATGAAATAAACAATTGCAGTAAAACTTTTGAGCCTAGATGAAAGAGAAAAGTCAGTGTAGGGCTTGCCAGTTGTATGAGACTTTTTGTACTTAAGGTAGATTTTATTTAACTCCACATACTAAAGACATCTCTTAATACCTTAATAAGTACCCTACCAAACCTTTAAGTACCGATCAGCGAACTCGAATTAAAACGATTTGTAACTTGGTAGTGTACTTTGATGAGAATTATATATTTACCGCGGATCAGATGTCAAATTTAATATATATGAATGTTGTACAACGTATCTGCTAACGGTTGGGGTAGCATGCTCGAAGAGTGCGTTTAATGATAGCACAACGAGGGAGCGAGCCACGTGAGAGCAGTCACGCCGGAAAAATAAAGATGACCTGGCTCCATATTACATGAATGCGTTAAAACAAAATTTCAAACATTCAAGATACCCTACAGGTTATCCCCCCTTAGAAGTTTGGTGAGATACTGGCAACGATCGGTACGCGAAAGTAGTAGGTTGAGAGATAGAGGTTTTTATAATAACACTCAAGTAACAAGGAAGGTTGAATGGAGCATTAAAAGTGTGAAAAGCAAGAAACAAAAGTTCAGGGTAAATAGGGGGCAGCATGTGCATGGTTAGTGGAGTAAAGCGGAATATAAGAATATATGACACTGACGCCCTAGTGCGATTTCAGAGTTTCGCGTTGTTTTTTTGTCATCAACCTCATTCAACAGCTGGCTCTGGGGCAACAATACGTGTGAGGTGACTCACGGCGGGAAGCTCGGCGAGGTCCTTAAGTGAATGCAAGGGTAAAATAAGACTGCTTACTGTCACCGAAGATATCCCTAAATGTATTGGACTGGATTATGCATCAGTCTTAGCGTCTGGAGCGAGCTGACATGAACACGCCTGCCCGACCGGAAGACTTAAATGGATCTGAATTTCGAAGACAGTTTACGTCAGATGTCAAGAATCTCTACACGATAACCAACAATTGGCAGAAGTAGCAACAAAAGGAGATTTTCAGGTGAACATAAGGAATGCAAGGGTGATGAAGATAACCAACCAAACAATAACAGGAAACACCAATTACTATAAGCGTATTTGAAAGACGTTACTAACATTCCTTATCTAGGCAGCACCGTTTCAGCTACAGGCATTACAAATGGTGATGTCAACCCTAACCAGGGTTGGAAGGGTGAGACACACCTTCACCACTGTGAACTCAGTCCGGGAATCTGCGGTACTCGGCAAAATAGTGAAATTTGGATTTCCAACATCATTACTACATTAGTTCTTCTGTATGGGTCAGAAACACGGTGCATCAATAAAAACATTCCCAGCAGTTTGCAGAATTTTATCAACAGCTGTCTTCAGTGGTCCCATGCTGGGGGTCGAGTGGCCAGAAAGTATTAGCTACAAAAACTCCGGGAACGAACCAGTCAATCATTAAATATTCCAATGAAAGTAGAGATGGATCAGATATAGTCTGAAACGACCATCGTATGATATTGTACTCTGAGCCCTCGAGTGGGACCCGAATAGGGAGCGGTAAGTTGGGTATTGGCATGAGGGTTATGTGGGGGAGATCGTGTGAGGAGGAAATGAGAGACTACGGGTAGTTGCGTGGCAGCTGAAAAGGACCTCAGAGAATCGCACAGAGCTGATGTGTTTTTGAATTCCTTATGTTCCACCAGAAACTCAAGGGAGCAGTGTAGTAACGAACTGTCCCGCGCTTTCCGAAGCTATGTCCCTGGGCGTCCGGATCAAAACCAAACTAGCTAAATGGGTGGAGTAGCTGAGAGCCTGAGCGATATGAGCCTTGTTGTCAGACCTCATATAGCGTTAGATAGCGGTGAAATAAAAGGTAGATAAGTACAAAAAATAGTCAAGCCACGGTATAAGAGGGGAAACTGTTACTAAATCCATAGGGATGAATGTATGGACGACGCGAAGATGGTTATGGTACACATGCGCTAACTTTTAACCGGTCGCTTGACCGACAACCCTCGCTTCAAGTTGCAATACTGGTTTAGCTATCCCTTATCCACTTTAGGGCATTCGGTTAGCAGAACATCTAAAGATGGCTATCCACATCAACTGTCTAAAGGTGGGACTTCACTTTCTGATGAAATGGTTACTTTCTAACACTTTCAGTCAGTAACAGAATGTTGAAATTATTCCTCAAAAAGTGAGTCAAAATAAATGCGTAAATTACTCATTTTTGAGCCATGTGTTCATCTACCTATTGAAACACATACTAAAGCCGCGTCAGCAGCTGAAAACTAATTACTTACCGTTCAGTTGTAAACAATAAATTGAAAGACTCCATTTCACTATTCACGTAACTCATACATTTTACACCTTTGGCTTAATAGGAGAAAGACATGAAAATTCTGCAGAGAAATCTGTTTCTCAGTGGAAGGAACTTAAATTTCGATGAACTGCCTCTGACGCACTCATACAATTAATTGACATTTGAATAGGAGGCATATTCGACTGTCTATGAGTTGTAACTGAGATTTTTCGTAAGGGTACATTTGAATACCCTCATTATTATCATTGTCACGAAACCTTTTCTGAGTACATAATGAAACTAGAACAAACGAATGAGGAGTCTTCCAACTCTTTGTTGACAAAGGCTTTTCATCCGATCACTGTGGTTTGTAAATGTCTTATTCATCGATGATTTACCCAATCAGATACACCAAACTATAATTGATAAGCTGTACCCCTATAGATGCATCAGATGGCTGATTGCTGTGTTCTTAATTACAGTGTATGTGATTCGAATAGCTACTGTTCAGGTGAGATGAACTGAGATTAAATTGACTTTAGGTACAGGGTTTTCACATAGTAAGCTACACATTAGCAATCTATCTGCTGAGTCTGTTTATATCATTTATTTCTCCAAAAGTTGATCCAGATCTTGCTGAGTTTTCAGGTAAGACTTGGACAATAACACAAACTTGTTTGCAGATGAGAGTCCGACGCTCCCGCGAACTGTAGGTGAAGAATTCAGACCTTTCATACCAAGGTTACTTGAGTCCAAATTCTGGTAAGATCCAATATTTCAAAATCTAAGATCATTTTGTTTTGATTGATGGGGATTCAAATTACTTAGTATCTATTTGTTTGGAATCGAGTAGGGCTGATAGACACATGCACACTTCTTGGTGCCGTATCTGTTGGCTAACATTTTAACATTTATACGAAGAGAGTCTGATGACTACCTTAAATTATTTTTATTTATAACCACATAGGAGTAAGTTTGAAAAAAAGTGTACATATTTACTTCCCTGATTAGATGCACATTCAGTCGCTTTCACAATAATGCGTATGACTATTGAACCAGAATCACTATATACTATTACTTATCTTTAGTTCTGAAAAGTGCAGGGTTGATGTTTGGCTTGTTTTACTGACTGTACATGTCTGTTGAAACTAGAGAATTTCAAGGAATATCTAGCTGAATTCATGATGCCACACCATGTAACACACGGCGTTACAGAAGAAATTCACTGATTCTATAACCAAGGGAAAAAGAATAATAGTAGGAAAGATCGTAAGGATTTTATGAATATAGTATTTTACAAAGAGTTATCCAATCTGCCCTGCTGGCAATGATTTTCGCTAACTCTGTCCTGTGATGGAATAATATTGACGTTGGAAACGAAAGATTTACGGTTCGACAGTAGTTGCAGTATTTTACGGAAGGCAAAGTAAAAATTTCATTAAAACTAAATCTGTTGTATGTATTCATCACATGTCTCGACACTTAGCTTTAACTAAGGTAGGTTTAACGGAAAACTAATATAATGTCGTAGTCACTAAATTTTGGGTTAAAGATTGTAAGGCTTCATAGAATGAGGAAATTTGGTCGTTGGGAACTCTGGATGGGTAACATAAATATGGACACTGTGTGTGCAGGCTCATTAATTATGCACATAACTCCTAAATCAGTTGTATTCCTGCTTGTTTTCCAACTCTTCAGTTTTTCCTGTCGCTACGCTTCAACATTGTAAGAACTTAGATGCATACAGCATCTTGCTTTCGAGTACCTTCATCTACGAACGAATAGCCTTTAATTTTGTAAACTGGCACACCACCAGTACTCTGTCATTTCTTCACTTCAAACAATAACGCCTCAACCATTCATTTGTGAACAGTGTTCAGAAAGTCTTAGGTATTGGGTCTTCAAATTCACCGATCCAAGGTCTAATTTACCACTGAAGTGTATATTTAGAATAGCATGATATATTTCTACGCTAAGTATATTTATCTAAACTATGTGATAATTGTAAGCATAATTCGTGTTTTCTACTTTGTGCTGTAATCTAGCCTTCCTATTTACGAGGATAAAATGATCAAATCTCCAAGATTTAGACACAAACATTAGTTGAAGTTATTCCCTGTGTTCATTTGTTTTAGTGACTCACTACATGAAGTAGTCTTTCTAAATAATGCCTTAATTAGCATGATTTTCGTTAAAATTAATGTTACACAAAGTGGCTAAAACCCTACTGCTTACTTAAATCGATATCAAATATTATTTATGTTATTAAATGGAAAGATCTGGAAAAATTAAGAAGTAACAGGGAAAAGAGGTTGTATCTAATTAGTCTCCCTGTGTGCTTCGACAGACTACAAGTGTAATGCAGCTGGGGTGCTGCTTTACTGTACTACCCATTAGTTCAACTTATTCAAATGTCAATTAAAGAGGATAAGAAAAGTATAAATTCCTTGCTACTAAAAGATGTTAAACTGCCTGTCACAATAGAACAGCACGCACTACAAATGTAAAACTGTGATCTCGCAGTGAAGGTGCAGAGAAGGTATAAAAACATATGCACCACAGCCGGTTCTGAGCTAAGTTGTATTGTATCTCGATCTGTTAGATTGTCTCGTAGAACCCAATCTGACTTTTTACGCGGTAAGGCTCAGTAATCGGTAGTCATATTACATCTAACTTCTTTTGTATGTTTTCTTCACAAATATTTATGAAAGTATGCCAGTTTTTTTTTCTGACAGAAATCTCATGCAAATTCTTAGAACAGCTGTACTGTTTCGTGAACTTCAACATAGTGGAGATTTTAAAGCCATAGAGATTGAAAATAGTGTAATTGTATTAAATTAACTTATAAAGACATTTTACGTGAAGGGCATGCAATGATCTTTTTCAGCTGTTTAAAACTAACAGTACGACTTTTAAGAGTTGTTTGCTTTAGTTACTTTTCTAACTCTGTCATCCGAAATCTTAAGATAGTTATTAAAAAGGTTCATGCTAGTGACTATCAGAAAAAGCATGAAGGCAAATCTTAGGAGATAATTAAAGAATTCGTTTATCCGGTTGGGTGTCTTAATGCTCAAGTGAAGAAAGGGATGAAATCTCAGTTCATGTATTTAAATCTGTACCATAACATGATGCCAATACATGAACCCACTGATTGTTGGTCTGAGTCACGTGTCGAGATGTGAACTGCCTGGTTGGGGTTATCAGGATGCTAAAAATCTGAAGTCTACCAGCACATGTTTGAATGTAGTAAGAATCACCCAACTAATAATATCTGCTACAAATTTTAGCCTCTGTAGCTCATGCACACGTTAAAAATGTTACAATAACATCCTTTAAATGTTTATTGATTTTCGAATTTAGTGGTTCTTTCATGCAGTATATAGGACAATAAATAATGGTCGTGGATTAGTATATGTTAATTCAATACAAGTTTCTAATCGGGTTTCAAAAAGTAATAGTATTATGTGGTTTTGTCAGCTTTTATATGTAACTCAAGCTTAAAGTTGTGATAAGCATATTCCAGCCTTTTGTTTCCTTTTGTTATCGTGAAAAATTATTTAAAACGATAAATGTCCCTTTAAATGCCTGTGTCGATGAGACCATTCCTTACTCCCCTAACTTGTCTCTTCCACTTTTGCCTTCGTACCATGTAATACATTTTTTGTCCTTGCTCTGCACTAAATACATGCTTTAATCACTGTTCACACCTGCGAAATTTAAGATAATGCTATACGATTAGTCTACACCAATTACTAGTGTAAGGATAGCTGGTAAATTAGTCGAATGTGTAGACCAGTTCATTTGTTTGAGAAGTTGAACTAGCCTTAGAGAACTCCTTGTCGACAAAATCTCAGTCTGGATATAAAATCGTCGTTTGTAATTTTCCAACTTGTATTATCTTTGGCACAGGTGTAATATCCGACTGCCTATTATCCATGTAACGGTTATGTAAATTAAGTGTTTTATGCTACACTCGTGATAAAGTCTTCACATGGAGTTCTAATTGCATGGACGCTGACATACATTTGTATGGAGGATTTCATCATGACTTGACATCAGTTAGAGAACTACTGAAAAACCTGGGAGTACTGAACAGATGTCTCGTTTTAGTATGGGACTCTTCAACCGTACGCACCCATGGACCGGGGTTCGAACCTAGGACCTTATGGTTGCAAGATCCAACACTTGAAAACATACATTTGCATATTTTTTTATCTGTGAATCATAGTTTTGCTCAAAACCAGTCTCATTTATAAGATTATGTTTGTGTACACATGAGGTAGATGTTGTTCATTGGGGGTGAATACTTTGCTTTCGTCCATTGAAAACTTGACTTGAATCCATCCTTATTTACCTCGGTCTGAATAAATTTGTAGTATTCTCATCACAAAATATATTGCACTGATTAAGGCACTCTATTCGTACTCATACAGCCAGGTGAGGGCTTACGGCGAGCTGTCATCTGAACTGGTGACGACTAGTGGTGTCCGTCAAGGATGCCCATTATCCCCTTTTCTATTCAACTTCATCATAGATGTGTTAATGGACTTAACCCTAGGTGACTTCAGCCACTCAGGGATTGACTTGCTACCAGGGAATAATCTCGTTGACTTAGAATATGCAGACGATATAGTCCTTCTAGGCGAAGACGCTGACGAAATGCAGAGTCTTCTAAACACCTTGAGCCGCAATCTACGAATGTTTGGCATGCGATTCGCCCCCGCCAAATGCAAGATGATGTTACAGGACTGGACTACATCGACGCCTAGTTTAAAAATAGGAAATGAAGTGGTAGAGCACGTTAACCGCTTCACTTATTTGGGAAGTACCATCAGCCAACGCCAACGGGTTGATCTCTGACGAAATCTCAGCACGAATACAGGGGGCTCGTTTCGCATTCGCCAGTTTACGCCGACTCTGGCGTAGACGAGATGTTCGACTATCGACCAAAGGGTGGGTGTACTGCTCATCAGTCCGCTCCGTCCTCCTTTATGGTTGTGAGACCTAGCCGTTGAGAGTGGAAGACATGAAAAGACTAGCTGTCTTTGATCATAGGTGCCTGCGCTCTATTTCCCGTGTAAAGTGGCATGATAAGGTGAGCAACATTGAGGTTGGCGTCGAGTTCTGGGTAAACAGGGGAAATCAATCGACGAAGTCGTGAAGTTACAAAGACTGAGATGGTTAGGACATGTGTTACGTATGCCAAGTCATCGCCTCCCTTGACGAGCAATGTTAGCGGATATAGGGTCAGGCTGGAAAAAAGCTAGCGGCGGTCAAACAAAAACTTGGCACCAGTCAATGAAATTCACAACAGTTGGTCTAAGCCACGTAGGAAGGTGTAGACTTCCAGGCTGGGGTCCTCGGGACGGTAAAAATCTATGGTTGGAAACAATTGGTGACATGGCTCAAACTCATCGTTCTCAGTGGCGCAGATGCATCCACTCCCTGTGACTTATGATCTCCAATGAAACTGTTTTGTTCTTCGTTATTACTCTTCCTTTGTCTCACACCTCTGTTTACTGTCTCTATTATGCTTTTCTTGTGCTTTCTTCTCTTGCTTCGCGTGCTACACGGAGTATGGCGACTTGAACTTCCGCACATTTGTGCAAAGTTCTATGTCGAAAACAGACAGACAGATTCTCATCACAAACCAATTATTACTCATAGCCAACCACACAAAAAATCGTTGCCAAGCAAAATGCATCCATTTTGTTTACTATATGTTAAGAAAGTAAAAGTAAATATAATTATCTTGTTTATCCGTTATATCAGGTTATCTACTGTTCGTGCCATCACAATAAGTATATTCTGCACATATCTTCCCTTCTTGGATATTCCCGTATTTTGGCCAATACTCGTTATGTATTTTATAATGTTGTTTGCAGTTATGATGAAAAGGCAGATTAAGGTGAGTTATGGATTACTTTGTGCTACTATTTTGTACGCTAACGATGTCACCTATCTATAAACCTTATTGTTGGGTGTGTTGTACTACTCTGTCTATCAGTTATTACACACGCTTAGGCAATGAAAAGCTTATTCGCTGATAACACAGGTGAACATCTTTATGCAGTTGGTGAACTGAATTAGATGTATCAGTTAGGTTGGTCGTCATGTTCCAAACTTTGGTCAGCATTTTAGAGTTATCTGTTGAGGTACTTGTATGCTGACTTATTCGTTCATTCACCACTGTGTTTAGAAATAGTATTAATATTACCCTTACTGACATTGTGTCAAACTTAATAGCTTTCCAAAGGATATATTAATATTATTATTCCCTTATGTTCTGACTAGAACATAGGGCTTCAACAGCACATCTATATTTCGTCCAGTTTTCTGAAGTCCTCTTTAGGCGGTTGCACAGTTGCCCATGAGCTTTCATCTCACACGTTGTTCTCCATGTCACCATCAAACAACAAACTCGTCGTTTCCCTTAGAGGAATTACCTGGCGTGTAACGTCATTCAACCCTCTTGTGCGCGTGTATCCGATCCATCTCCATTCCCTTTTGCTTATTTATTGGTTGGTTTGTTGCCAGAGCTCCGTTTTGCTAATCCTTTCTTGCCATCTAATCTTCAGTGTGAAGCGAAGGTTGTTAGAAATGCTTTTCGTGGTTCGCGCTCCAAGTTTCTGAACCACATAGGAACACACTGATGTGATATTATTGTTAAAAATCCAGATTTTGTTCTTTGTGCTAAATACCGTAGATCTGCACACTGATTTCAAAATAGTAAATATCTTTCTGGCTTTTCCTGCCCTTTCTGCCTTTGACATCCCCATCCGTGCCGCCTAGATCAAGTAAGTGGAAGCAGTGACTTCCTCCGAATCTCACCTGTTAGTGGTGATCGGTGCTTCTTGTTGTTGGTGACCGGGTATCTCCATCACCCCTGTCCTCTCTATGTTCACTTGAAGTCCTATCTTCTCTCCTGCCAACTTTGTGTAACATGGGACATAAATCTTCCGCGAAGTCCAGGTTGTGTATAGTCGCCTAGTTTACTAGCCGGTCCTAAACCCGGAATAAAGAGGTACTGCTTTGGGCTAGTGATCCTACACCGGAAAATCAACCCAATCGCCACAGAAACTTGAAAGCACTGGAATAACATGTTGGTACAAATAGCCTATATTCACTTCATTTCAGTTCTTTTCTAAACTATGAAGAAATTGGACTTTGAGCTACCCCTAGGTTTTATTTTCCTTAGGTGTGTTATTAGCCTTTTAGTTTGATGGTTATTGCTGAGCTTTTTGTCAGAGACATGAGCATCCGTAGAATCAATGTTAATATGCTTAGTTATCGTCTAAATAAAGTTTTTCGTCAGAATATAGTTTTTTTATTCCATTACGTTCCGAGGGGAACATAGGGCTCCAAGCTAGAGCTTTGAAGTTTCGGTAGCAGTAGTTTTATTTTTAGGGGTGGAGTGCTAGCCTCACGTCCAGCCGTCTCTCTTTACTGGCCATACCACCGGCTTAGGGAGGTAAAGGAGTGCGCCGGCCGGGGATCGAACCCCGGACCATGTCCGTCGTTGGCTACCGCTGAACGAGGAACGTACCTAGTGGAATATAGTGTAAGTTCAACTAATTTCCCGTGATAGCACACTTTGCCATTACTCACTGCATGTTCGAGGTGATGTGGATTATTGATCTAAAAATTCGAGATTCAACCAGTAGGTTCCGGGTTAGAATCGTGCTCCGCCGACTTCGGACTAAAGAACTGAGAGTAGTATAATCATCCCTCACACACAGTAAGTCTAGCTCATAGGTGGCAAGAACTGTCCTGGGAAGTGAGTCCAAACAAAACACTTCGTAGTCTTAGTCACCCTTTGTTTTTATTCTTCTTTTCATGCTTATAGCATATGATAAAACACCGGTACGTTCCATTTACTTATGGAAAACCAAGACCCGCTGGGTCAAGTAACAAGGAGCAAGCTTCTGCTGTGATCAATTCGTGATATTAAACTGGAACTAACTCTTTTTTATCTCTGTGAATCACATTACTTTCTATTTATTTTCTTGTGGTATTTGTACATAGTTGTTCTAATGCTTTTTGGTATGTATTCAAAACTTCTATGATATATTATTTTGGTAGGAAAAAAAGTTGGATGTGTAATGTGTTACTTTTAGTCTTTTAATTGTTGGCGGGATGGTGATGTCTTTCTCATAAAATTTGTTTTTAACAGTGTGATTTCCTTGCATCTAATATTTCCAGAATAGTTAAAATAACATTCTAGATACCATTTGACATTTGCTTCACTGTAAAGCTTTTGTCGTCGCAAGATCTTCAGCGTTGGCTTCAAAATGATATTGCATGGTTAGCCGAACGTTCTTAGATGCTACGAAGTCCTCAAGTAATATGTGTTAGTTAATGGTCGAGCTTTTGGTTCGCTTATCGTCATTTGTGTTTTTATTAAGATTAGCAAGGAAAGACCTAATTGAGCAGCTAATGGGATGGTAAGTGGAGTAACTTATCTCATGACAGCTGATCATTACCCGTGCTGGTTGCGGTTAGAAGATAATCTGGTTAGTAGTAGTTGGGTCTCAAAGCTCAACAGGTACAGCACTGGACTAGTAATTCAGAGGCCTCTAATTCATCTTACCTTCAATGTTCTACCCACTATATCAATAAAAAGTGTCCGACCGAAGATTACTTTAGGCAGTCTTATCATCAAAACAGCAAAAGCGAAATACATTGTCGATTCTGACACAAGTGGAAGAAAATTCTATGGATCTGTAAATTCTAGTTAGTATTGCTATGCTTCCATCCACACACGACATGAAGTATGAATAGTTGGGAAGTGCTCACACTAGCTAATAATGCTTACCGAGACGATCTATTTACGTGACTGTCGATTTGCTCTTTGGAAACAAATTTTTTTTCTTTGATATACTCAAACAGTGAGACTCTGGTTGGCAACAATGCAGTTATAATTGCTTGCGAAGTACACATTTCTATTTGGCATCTCACCACTCTTCGCTTAAGAAATACTTGGGTCACATAATGTGACCCACTGGATAACGTAAGTGGCGTGAAAGAAACAAACTGGAGTGCAACATAAGAGTACTTGTATACTTTCGCCACAGAATGGGACTGTTCTATGTGAATTTTGCATAAGTGGCTCTCCTAACCGTCAAAGTTAAATTATTTCACCAGTTGGAATTCTATTTATCACAGAATTATGTTAGTAAAATTTGTGGTTGTTAATTGCTTTCTGATATCGCGTTGACCTGACTGAGAGATGCTGCTGTGACGTGTCGGACGGGATTGCATATGGTAAGGAGTTGTGCTGGCTGAAACTAGTGTTCTTGCAGGTCCTAATTGTAGAAGAAGGTAAAGTTGCTACATCTGTCGATATCTTCTCATATTGTCTTCTTGCACCCCTAATAGAGTGCTCTTTTCTCTACTTTTGTGTGCTAGGTAGAATGTGTCAACTTGAACTGCTTCACTTCTGTACAAAGTCCTACATTGAAACTCAGTCAGTTTATCACATGGAAGTAACATTTCCTCATGTTCCTAGACCTTATTATTATTGAATAAGCAAACGATATAGTTAGGATTTCTCAGAAGCGCAACTAAGTTCATGTATTGAAATTATTTAGTCTATTTAAAATCTACATGTACCCCATTTTCCCAGTAGGATACAGTTATTTTAATGAAAAAGTCACGTCTTTTCATCTTATTAGAATTACTGGTCTTAGTTGTGACTGCTAACAGAAATTAGGTAGACTGTATGTGAATAGATGAAATGTAACCATAAATGGATAGTTTTAGGATTTATTATTGTACCCTTGGATTCCGAGTGGAACACAGGTCTTCAACAGCACATCTCCACTCTGTTCTATTCTGTACCGCCCTCTTTAGCTGACCCCACGGTCGCCCATAGTCTCTCACACGATCCCCTGAATGTTACCCCAAGGGTCGTTTCTCATTGGGGTTCCACTCGAGCGATGGCCTGGCGCGCACTGTCATTCTTCGGTCTCCTAGCGTGTGACCGATCAATCTCCGTAATCTTCTGCATATTTGCTGAGTAATAGGTTCTTGGTTGGTTCGTTCTCAGCTTTACAGTGTAAATTTCTGTAGTTATTTGTTCTCCTCCCAGTTTTTAAATGGTAGCAGCTTAACCAACTAATTTTCCTCTGGATCTGGGGTAATTTATATGTATGATGGAGAACATTTGTAGCTCATTTGGATGGTTTCAGTATAACCTTTAACAAAGTTACCAGGAAAGATGATCCACATACTCGTGGGGAATTCTAAAAGTGGTTCTCTAACTGATGTCAGCTCATGATAAAATCCTCCATTCAATCAAACAAATATCCCTACAAAACCAATATTTGAAAATTAATTTGATGCTCACTAGCGACTTGCCCTATTCAGGCAGCAACTTGGGGCTCTACTGGGAAGTCGTGACCAGTAGTGTACAGCAGGTTGAAGATGAGGCAGCAATTCATAGAAGAAGACATTGCGAAGTGGTCGTGTTATGTCGTGAATTACCAGAAGTTGGAATTCAAGGACCACTGTACCAGGTCCCAGTGGCTCCAATGGTCTACGAGCTTGCCTTGTGACGAGTAGGTCCTGGGTGCGTACTAATGAAGAGCCCCAAACTAAGACGAAAGAGCCGTCCAGTACTCCCAGGTTTTCCATTGGTTCTCTAACTGATTTCAGCTCATGGTGAAATCCTCCATTCAATTCTAAAAGCTCACTTCAAGTCGAAGTAAACGGTGAAATGAAAGCTTTACGACTAAACTGTCCAGCTCACATTATATATAGCTAATCAAACTCTGTCAATTAAGTTTCGCAAAGAAAACGTGCTTACACTTGTAATTTTGATCAAACATGTTAGAAAGACACAAAACACTTAGTCAATAATTCTCAATCTGTCAGTTTTGTTTTCACAAATTTACGATGAATTATTGGTTCAAAGTTGATTGCATTTGTTGTAAATGTTCACTACAAACACAAAATATCTGCCTACAAGCAATGCCTATCTGTAATCATAGAATTCTGAGTGTTTAAAACACTGTGACGCTTATTTTAGTAAGTTTTGAAAAAAGAAATTATGATTATTGAATGCCAACACTTAAAATCTGCATAATTATGGGGTTGAGCACTTTAACAACAACAAAAAAGAACACCAGAGACTCTGTATAGCTAGTACTAATTAGTAGGTTTCTGACTGATTGTTGTATAGTTTTTCAACTCACTAGCGAGCGTATTATTTTTTGGTCGGCATAATTGAGGAGTAAACTGTCTCACTGTATCAATTATTTTCTTTGTCCAGATTGTATACGAGCTAACAAAATGTTTTTATCAGTGGGAAGGTAAATAGTCCAATGTCTGTGATTAAGTTTTGAATAAATTCTACAATTTTTCAATAGCTTACCCCAAATTAGATTTAAACAAAATTTTCAATTTACGAAGAAGGATGTTAAAGTGTACAGTAGCTAACACTCTATTCACGTTTACTTATAGAACTGAAGGACCTATAAGATTAACAGAGTATCGTCACATCTTTATTCACTGCCACTTCATACATTCTGCCCTCAAATTCTGTTTAAACCTGACTCTGTTGATTGGTAACACAGTAAAATTCAAGTTTAGATTTTAACAAAAAAACATCGATTAAATTGTTTTCGCATCGTCTTGCATCTTGTTAATTTAAGACAGTAAAAACGCCAACTACGCTCGTTACCACATCAACAGAATAGTGTTTGGGGAACAGATCCATCTCCAAATGTCATTTGACATGTAAGGAACAATATCTCGTTTTCAATTAGATCTTTCGCAGACTTAGCGCAGCGTGTACTACTGATAATACTTATCAGTAGTATATAAAGAGACGTCCATTGGCATAAAAACATTAAATGGCAGGGATATGGATTTGACGTCAAAGAAAGCAAATGATTTAGCGCTGCGGCAACCACCTGGGAGACACCACCAGAAGACAAAGAAACATAGTAAGAAGGGCAGAAGTAGCACAACATGGAAGGTCTGTGCAAATGACAATCTGCAGATAAGGTGTACATAATTTCGCTGTATACATATAGAGGTATGGAATTCCCCATAAACATTCCTTTACCAAGCCTCTTGTCTTCTTATGTTACATACCTAATAAAGTTATTAAAACTTGTCTTCCTTTCTTATTCTTTACCTCCTTCATACATTTGTCGCATTTATTTAAGCTCTGGCTGTCTATCTATCTGCCTCATCTTTAGTATTCAGCAACTTCCAATTTTACAAGACTTTGACCTAATTTAATTATTGAAATGTTTACGTTATTATTGCCATTTTCATTACCATTACCGTCCAACTACGTTAACTGCCTGTACTTTTGTTATTATTGACTTTAGTATAATCGTTGTTTTATTATTGACATATTTACGATAGTTTGTACTTGTATCTGTTCTACAAATTTACCGTCATTGGTTAAAAATGTTGTGTATAAAGCTACGCATATAAAAGGAAAGCCTAGGGAAGATCTAACTACAGTATTGTTCATTCAAATATCTTGTTTGGTTCAAGAATTTTTTTATGCTGGTTAGCTGGCGGCTAGAAATGCTCTTATTTCTAAACCATATTTTTCAGAGACCTTTAGTAAATTAGCTGAAACTGGACAATTCGTGCAGTCTAGACTCTTAAGTCAGACAAAATTTACATCTGCATGGAACACATTGACAATTCAAGTGTTAGTTTGTAGGGATTTGATTGGTTACATGATTTCATCATGTGCTGACATTAGTTACAGAACCATTGGAAAACGTGGGAGTACTGGACAGATGTTTCGTCCCAGTTCGGGACTCTTCAGCAGTACGTACCCGCCGGGATTCAAACCCTGGACCTTCCGGTTACAAGACGAGCTCGTAGACCACTAAGCCACTGGGACCCGATACATTGGCCCATGAATTCTAGGTTCTGCCAATTCGCGACATAGCACGACCCCTAGCCAATGTCTTCGGCGACTATTTGTCCTCACAATTCTTTCAATGTCTAGTTCTGGGATGCCAGTTAATTTCCTCCTGTCATCTGATACTCATAAAAGGAACTAATTTATTACTTACCTACTGATAAACTGGTGGAGTTCTGTCTCATTTAATCATGTCCAAATTTTTGTGCAAACGGTTGTTATTCATTTTAAAAGTTTAAAATTATGTGATGGATACCATTAAGAGTCAGTCACAATGAGTGTAACTTTCTCAAAAACCATTCATTCTCCCGTAGATATCTGGGGGTTAAGACTGAAACTTTGGAGAAGTTAATATTTAAGCACCAGTAACTAATGCTCCGCAGAT